ATTGGACTTGATCCAGACACAGAGAAAAAATAGCCTCAGTTTCTCTGCCAGTCGTGTAAGCGATCAGAAAACACACTTTCAGTACAGCAAGCGTCCTGATGAGCATAAGCCACGAGACACAAGCCGTGACTCAGGACTCTCAAATACTGACAAATGCAATCGAGTGGTGTGAAGCCATTTTTTCCAACGACATTCAGATGCAAATAAGCGCTCTGGTATTTCAGTAGATGCAACACTGAAAGTGTCCTACACCTACAGCTCTGCTCTAAGTGCGCTTTATGAATACATTGAGCTGGAGATCACACCGTGCTCATGTGTGCAGATTAAATCAACTAAAGGGCAGCACTATCAGTCATTCAGGACGGACGGGGAATTTAAAATGCTGCAAGAAAAGCTACACACATTGTAGCTCTGCTCCAAAACTTATTGAGCTGTACATTACATGTTCATTAATGACCGATTTCTGAACGACACACAAACGAAGCTCCCGAGAGACTCGACTCGACTCACAACGGATGCCAATACAGGTGATGCAAGAGAAACAAGAATCTGTAATGACCATAAATATACATGACTTCTCAATTGCCTTATTAGATTAAAATAGGGACAAATGCATGCCTTAAAATGCAGCCTCTGTAGCCATTTACATTAAATTGAATATTAGATTGTATATAATCTTGCACAGACAAGCAGGTAAATCAGCTTGGTCAATTTTTATGGTTTTATTTTTCAAACAATGTGTCCATTATTTACACATGGTTCATGCTCATTGTTCATGTTTATCTGAAACTATTTAATTGGATGTTAATGTTCACTTTTTACAATTGTTTTATACTTAATAGGTTCCAATGGTACAGAGTAGCGTTATTAAAATTAACTAAAACTATAAAAAAAAAAAAATTTTAAACATTACTTGATATAATATGAATGTTAAATGGAATAAAATATAAAAAACTCACTTATTTTATTTCAGCTAGGTGCCAAGGCAACATTTATCATTGTCATTTAGTTTTTCTTGATGTACTAAAATAAAAAAAATAAAAAAATAAAAAATATATAGGCATATTTAAAAACAACAAAAACGAATAAAAATGACAAGAACACAGAATAAAATTACTAAAACTTTAACTAAAATTAAAATAAAAAACTGAAAGTGTAAAAATAAAATCTAATTCAAAATATTACCCAAACTATAACAGTATCTCAATGATACCAAAACAAAATTGGCTCAGAGAACAAAGTTTGAAAAATTGTAAAAATTTTAAAGGGGTCATATGATGCTGCTAAAAAGAACATTATTTTGTGTATTTGGTGTAATGAAATGTGTTTATGCGGTTTAAAGTTAAAAAAACACATTATTTTCCACATACTGTACATTATTGTTTCTCCACAGAATAAAATTACTAAAACTTTAACTAAAATTAAAATAAAAAAACCGAAAGTGTAAAAATAAAATCTAATTCAAAATATTACCCAAACTATAACAGTGTCTAAATAACTATAACAAAAGTGACATTACCATAATGTTTGAAAAATGGTAAAACGAAACGCTTTACCACTTTATTTTAATGTTCAATTCTCGCTATTAACAAACCATTAACTAAGACTTATGCCTCAATAAACACCTAAATAGGGATATAGAATATAGTCATGCAGAATATGTGCTTTATAAGTACTAATAAACAGACTTTTCCCTTAATAAACACCTAAATAGGGATATAGAATATGTGCTTTATAAGTACTAATAAACAGTCAATATGTTAATAATATGCATGCTAACAAGCAACTAGTTAATAGTGAGAATTGGTCCCTATACTGAAGTGTTACCATGTTTTCTCAAATATTCATATAAGCAAGAAATATTTTTTGGTAACACTTTAAACTTTTAACTAGTTGTTTATTAGCATGCATATTACTTGCATATTGGCTGTTTATTAGTACTTATAAAGCACATATTAATGCATTATTTTGCATGATCATATTGTAGATATCTTAATCCTACCTCATACCTAAACTTAACTACTATTCATAAGCAGCAAATTAGGAGTTTATTGAGGCAAAAGTCATAGTTAATAGTGAGAACTGGACCCCAAACTAAAGTGTGACAGAAGTTTTTAAAACTGGACGTTTTGAACTCTAAGAGAACATTCAGAAATTATGTTTTCATAACTTAACGAGAACCTTTTTCGCTAGCCGTTTCATTCTCTTTTACATTCACAGTTCTGTTCCTCTGCTTCCTTCATGTTCACAAACTGACTGACAAAATTATTTTCTGTGATAATCAACAGCATGCCACGGATATTGTCGATCAGTAACTAAGACGAACTGACTTTATTATGGTCACTTATTAGTCTGGCAGACTATTACACGCTGGGAAGATGTGTATATGTAAAATCAATTTACTATTAACTCCAAGGACAGAAAGAGCACAAGTGACACATGCACAGCTTCTTTTCATTCCACATTCAGCAGCTGTAATATTACCGTCCTGCATGTTTTGTCAATGCATTCAAAGTCATAAAGATCTGTCAGAATGCACATGACACCAGTGCATACTTCAAGTTCATTTATATGACAAAGTCATGTAATATGCAGAATAATGTACAGTTAGTAAGGACAAGTACAAGATCTGTCAGTAACATTTAGCTCGATTCAAAGACAATGAAACGGATCGCAGGTCTAAAGCGCGGCATCCGGAGATTACAAAAGAAACGGCTCAATTACAGCACGAAGTCTCTCCTCTGTATCACTGTTTACAGAGCACAGCCTCACAAATGCTGCTTCTGCCAATCCGACAAGTCAATTACTGCTTCAAACACTGGTGAACTGGAGTTCTGGGACTACAGACGTAGACAGGAGTGTTTGGGAAACCTGTTCGCCAGTGCAGTTAGAGAAAAGACATTAACCCTCATAATGCATCCGGGTCCGTTTTGAACTGGAAGACATGCATGAAAATAAAAAATAAAATACATCGTTTTTAGTAAGGGAAGAAAACTTTGCAAATGCCTTAAGACACTCAAAATAAACTTATAATATATATATTTTTTTTTTTAAAGAGATATAACCATTTAAAAAAGAAAATGTTATATGTTTTGTGTTCGCGTCATTTTGACCCGGTTATGTATGGAGTCCCATTAGGTGTCAAAAATGCTTTTTTGTTAAATTATCTATGAAGTTATATTAGTCTCAAAAATCTCTATTCAGCCTTTTCCTCATATCTCACACACTTTTGGGACTGAATTTTGTTGATAAACATGAATATGCACACCTACGGACAAACCATTGCAGCATTTTTTCATCAACCTTTTTTCATCTGAAGGTGAAAGTTTATGCAAGTAAAATTAATTTATTTTGTTTGTAAACTTTTTTAATTTTTTAATATTTATGTTATTTTGATGTTTTGTTAGAAATAAATATTTTTACAAACCTACATACTGGACTGTTTTTGATCATGAGTTATAAATTCAAAGGAATTTAATTTACATTTATTATATAATTCTGAGATTAAATGTTTGTATAAATTTCATATTATGATATATTCAAATAAGATTTCTCTTATATATAATTGTTTTTGTTTGTTTTAAGTGTGGTGCATGTGTAATTTGAAATACCAGAATTTCTCAAAGAATTTATTTTTTAATTAATAAAAAAAGGGATAGATGAGAAGTTGCTTATCAGATACAATATGGTTTTAGCTGAAAAACACTGTGTCTACGTAACAAAATAACAATTGTGTGAAATGCAGATTTTGAATGCATTATGAGAATTAAATTATTTGAAGATGGAGAGTGGGAATATGATTGAAACAACAACAACAACAACAACTCAATCTAGCATATAACTATTGATGACTGCATAAAAAAACGTAAAAACTTATGAAATACGAAAAGATCTGTTAACTCCAGCCACTGTCCATCTAAAAAGAGACCTTTAAAGAAATCCTTTCAGATTTTCATTGAGCAAAGCAGTCCGAACACAAAGACACTTGTCATGTCCTGTAGATTAGTTCACATGAATGATAAAGTCCTGGGTTTGTGAAAAGCTTTCATTGCCTTTGGTTGTATTGAACTAATGGAAGAGTTGGAATGATGCACAGCTGTCTCAGGACGCCAAATCATTCATCTCTCTGTAGTGCTCTTAAAAATTGTTCTGGAAATAAAAGCCCTGAGGAGCTTCGATAGATAATGACGGTTTCTTCTTATTGATATAAAAGAAAAGAGACACAGAAATGGCCTATTTTATTGCCAGATGTTACGTCTTATGGTTTTGCTGCTTCATAGTAGCTAAGCACAAGCCTTTTAGTGCTCAAAGAAAATAAAGACAGAACTGTCTGCCATCATTTCATTTTATGAACCAATTGATTTTTACTTAAATGAGTCCTATTGGACAGTGCAGCTGAGGATTGCATTGAAATAATACTTGACTACGAGTTCTAAAACTGATAAAAATGCATGCATTTATATGCATTAATCCATGTATATTTCATATTCTCCAGTGCAACAGAGGATTGTATTGAAATAATAATAAACGGCAATGAATTCTGAAGCTTTATAAATGCATGCATTTATATGCATTAATGCATGGTTCGACTACAAAGCAACAGAGGTTTGCATTGAAGTAATAAACAACTATGAATTCTAAAGCTGATTATTAAAAAAATGCATGCATTTACACTACCAGAATAATTACAAAGTTTGGAATAATTAATTTTTTAATGTTTTTGAAATAAGTCTAAATAATATATATATATATATATATATATATATATGCTGTATTCAAATAATTTACTGTATGCAAATAAGTGCAGCCTTGGTGAACAAATGAGACTTCTTTCAATAACATTATAAAGTTAGAATTTTTCCTTATTATTAATTTCCTTATTAACTTTTTATTTCAATGCAATCCTCTGATGCATTAGAAAAAAATCGTAATTATTCCAAACTTTTGCATGTATATTAGTGTATATGCATTAATGCATGTATTTCTTATTCTCTACTCACCCTGAAGTCTATACCGACTGTTGAGATGAAGCTCCCAGCCAGAAACGCTCCATCTTTAAAGCGAACCAGCAGACAGGTCTTCCCCACCCCAGAGTCACCAACCAGCATTACCTGGAGAGAGAGAGACATATGAAAGATGGAGCAGAACACACAATCTATCCCATCATCTCTCCTCTCATCTTCCCTGCCTCTTATTCATTCTATTAACAACCTCTCATCTTTCCATCAGTGCCTCAGTCAAACTAGGCCTCATTCCCTGCAGCACTTAGAAAGACTTCTTCAAGGCTGTAAAGATTAAAGGCAGGAATATCGGAGAGGAAAGGGTTTGCTTGCAGAGAGATGAGACTAGAACAAAACTACACACTTAATATAAATGCATTATTCACCAGATCAAACTGTCTTCCACATCAGCTTCACCTAAACATTTCAGCTTAAAGCTCAAAACATCTTATTATGCAGAATGTGGCTGGAGAAATCAGAATACGTCAGTGCTGAATGCAAGTAAGTGAGTGTACTTGCATCAGGCTGGATAACCCAGTTGCCGTGCTCCAGCTTATCTGTATTGACACAGCTGTTCAATTAGAGCACGTGCTTAACTTCAGTCAAACAGAGCGCGTAATTCTCGTTCATATGGGGCGGCTGGATAGCATTGCATTGTTTTTAAATACTGCTGTAGCACAAATAAAAGTCCCAATCTAGTGAAGCTGCACACAATCATCAGAGCTATGAAATATAAATTGTATAACACAGTTGCCATGTTTATGCTGGCAAACTATTTATGCTCACATATGCATACAGATGTATGGCAAGCCATTTTCCCCTTTAAAATGTAATAGCTAAAACTTACTATTTTCTACTGTTAATGTTATTAGTGCTTATCTTTCAATATTATTAAGTAATCAAATAGTAACTAGTGTCTATTCAACAACTGGACCTAGTGACACATTGCCTAGATACTAGCTAGAATATGAATATTTAATATCTTCTGAATGGTTAGTGCAATTCAAATAGTCTAGTAGTCTCTGAAAATACTTATCAGTAAATAAAGAAAATACTAGTTGTAATAGAATAGTTACTTGATACTATTGAGATACTGACTAGTAGAAAGGCGGTAAGTACTAGTATGGAATGAATGAGAACTATTGACAAATTGAATCGATACAGTTAGAATTGGAAAATCAGACTAAATTGTTAGTTAACTAGTCACTGTAAAAATAAAAACACGCTATTACCAGTAACAATGGAATAGTTACTTGATACTATTGAATGACTAGTAGAAAGGGAATAAGTACTAGTATGTAATGAATGAGAACTAGTGACCAGCTGAATAGATAATAGTTAGAATAATCTGCATCTTCTAAAAGGTTAGTGAAATTCAAATATACTACTAGTCCCTGAAATTACTAGTATAGGCTATAAAAATGCTATTATCAGTTACAATGGAATAGTTACTTAATACTACTGAGATCATGACTATAGAAGGGGAATAAGCACTGAATAAAAACTAGCCTAGTGAGAAACTGAATAGATACCAGTTGAAATTTTAAATAATTTGCATCTTCTAAATGGTAAATGAAATTCAAATATACCATGGTATTGCAATGGAACAATGGAATAGTTAGGCTACTTGACACTAGTGAGATTAGTTAGAGCTAGTAGAAAGGGAATAAGTGTTAGTATGTAATGGACGCTCTGAAATTGTATTTAGTAGATATATTCAAACACTAGTAACATAAAACAAATAAAGGACTATATGTATATTCCTCTTGCCATACTGCACTGGGTTCGCGTTGTTGAAAGCGGCTTGTCGTGTACCTTGAAGGCGATGTCGTAGAATTCCCCGCTGCTGCTGAGAGAGGGTCTGCTGGGATGCACCACTCCGTTGGAATGGGTCGGGACTTTCTTACCCTTCTCTTTATCGCTGTTCGGAGATGAGCTCGGTGTACCCCCCTTTCCGTTGACCGCTTTTTTCCTCGACATTATGATTGCTTATTCCCCGTGCGAACGTGCAACGAGTAATTAATGAGCAGCGAAGCGCGCGCTCTATCCGGTTCACTTCTCCCGTTGTCTGTGTTTTAGTAAGCGTGAATTAACTTTTCATCAAGAAGCGCGCATGACTTAAGGGCTCCGTCAAATAAAGAGTGCGTGCAGCGCACCTGCTTCCGCGGCTCGCAATGTCGCTCCGTTTTACGCAACTGGTCCGGCAATTAGTTGTTGTTGTTGTTGTTGTTGTTGTTTTAGAAAAGAAAAAGCGTCTCCGATCCCTGCCTCCCGAATGCACCTGTGCGGCTGCTCTGAAAGGGAGAGTTCACCTCACTCCTCTAAGCAGCGTAGTACTGCACGCGCGCAGGGCGCATTGTCAACAATCAGTGGAAGTGTTGGCCAACGCAAACGCTCGCGCTCACTCTCCACTTGTTGGAATGCAAAGCTCCCTTAAAGGCGCAGTGTTATTTTGAACGCACACCAGGATTAGTTTTAGTCAGGGGTCTCCAGTGTCCTGCAGACTTCAGCTCCAAGCCTAATCAAACACACCTGAACCAGCTAATCAAGGTCTTACTAGGCATACTAGAAACGTCCAGGCAGGTGTGTTGAGGCAAGTTGGAGCTAAACTCTGCAGGACCCCGGCCCTCCAGGACCGAGTTTGGAGACCCCATTGGAGACAATGAATGAACCAAGTTATTAAGAATTTTTAAAAAACTTTTTTTTTTTTAATCTTACTGTAGTAGATCAGACAGTATCCCAGTAAGCCCGTTTCTGCCACGGAATAAAAAATTACGAAGGTAGTAATTGCGACTTTTCTCACAATTTGCTGTTTACTTCTCACAATCGTGAAAAATCAGAATTGCGAGATATAAATGCACAATTGCAAAAAAGATAAATTCAGAATTACGAGATATGAACTCATAATTGTGAGATTCAGAATTGATAGATTTAAAAGAATTGTGAGTTATAAAAACACAATTGTGAGAGAAAAAAAGTCAGAATTGCAAAATAGAAACTGACTTTCTTGCCATTCTGAGTTTACATATCTCTTATTATTTCTAACAATTCTGATACTTTTCTCGCAATTCTAAAAAACAAGTCAGAATTACTATAAAATAGAATTATTGCAAGATATAAACTTACAATTGAGAAAAAAAGTAAGAATTGTGAGATATAAATTTGCATTTGTGAGAAAAATGCCTGAATTGTGATAAAAAAGTTGCAATTACCTTTTTTATTTATTTTTTCCATTCCATGGCAGAAATAAATAACTACGAGAAATATAAACTCAGAATTGCAAGAAAGTCTGTTTCTATTTTGCAACTCTGACTTTTTTCACCACAGAAAAATATTTATTTAAATAAATAAATATCGTACAACTGTGAGGAAAAAAAAATCACAATTACCTATTTGTATTTGTATTTATTTTATTTATTTATTTTATTTTTTTGTGGCATAAACAGGTTTCCATACTTTGGATAAAATCATCTGCCAAATGCATTATTGCTCAAGGTCAGCTTAATAGTACAGTGCTCTCATAATGTGAAAGGAACAGAAAAATAACAAGATGTTTAGGCTGCATATCTTACAGACAAGCAAGCATAAACGCCTAGGCCGGAATTATCTTTTTGTGATGCATGTTTGAGCTCATTAACTCCAGAAGACATGTGAGGTCACCTGCAGAATGGGACTTTTACATTTAAGGAAACTGAAAGCAATGTTTGTGTGGTTTCGCACATCTCACTGCATTCTGGGACTTTGATATTATTCTCAACATAGTCATGTGCACGTAAAGTGACCTGGAAAGGTATGCAGACTTAAAAGATGCATGAGTGTAATTGCACAATAAAACAAAATATCAACGCAAGTAGCATCTGCATTTTTTACTGCATCTCTTTAAGTGTTCACTGTATTTAAAACACATAAAAGGTTTTGCACTTTCATTAAGCATTGTTTCTAAGAACAAGTTTGCCATAATACTGTTATGTTACTGACCAAATTCATTTTTAGGGAATAAATAATAATAATAATAATAATAAAAACTGTTAATTAAACATTTGACTGAAAATAGCTGGAAATAAGAATTATTTTAAAAATGTAAGGAATAAAAATGTAAAGAAAATATTAAATTAATAATAATAATAATAATTATTATTATTATTATTATTATTATTATATTGTTAATTCAACATTTGACAGATTTTTAGGGAATAAAAATGAAAAGCAAATATTTTTTTTAAAAAGTAATATTACTGTTAATTATTATTATTAATTGAACATTTGACCGAAAATACCTGTAAATAGAAATAATTTAATTACTTTTTAGAAAATAAAAAAATATATATATATTAAATTACAGCAGTATTATTTGTTGTTGTTGTTGTTGTTATTATTATTATTATTAATAATAATAATAATATGGGAATAATTTAATAAATTTTTAGGGAATAAATTTTTTAAAGAAAATATGAAATAATAGTACTGTAATTTGTCATTACTATTAATATAATTTTTTATTATTATTATCATCAATAATAATTATAATAATAATGCTTATTATTATTATTATTTAAAATATATATATTAATCAATTAAAAATATATATTTATCCAATATAATTAAGACTTCTAATATTGCTTCTTCCAATATTCCTTTAATTTGTAATGTAAATGCAATGTCATATGTACAGTACATGCCCTGAGTTGTGTATCTGATGTTTAGTATTGAGTTCCCCTCACAGCACACTAAACCAGTACATCACATCTCTCTCAACGGTTTCTGTGCAACGCAGCTGTTCAGAGGTCAGAAATAAACACACTTTCACTTAAAGCTCACCGTTATCCAGCTCTCGTGTCCTGAGGGGTAAAACTTACAAACTTCTGTTGGTGCTTTACAAAAGCTCTATAGAAGATTGATGATCTCATTTGTCTGCAGCTGAATTATTATCGCTCTGTGCGCGTTACATAAGGATTATAAATAATCTCAACACTTTCTATTGACTGGGCTTTTAGTACTGGGGTGAAATTCATCTCCTGGTGAAGAATTCATTATGAGAGAGTGACAGCAGTGATTTCAAATCAGACAGAGCCACGACTCAACTCATGCATCCACATGCATTCATCAGAAAAATCTCCTGGTTTTTGTTTGTTTGTTTTGTAAACTGGGTCTATCATTCAGAATGAGTGTCCACTATAAACAAAAGGACAAATCTAGTTTAAAACACACGTCAAGATGAAAAAAATGTTGGTCTCATATGGTTTTGAAAAACTTTTTTGCTTTTTCAAAACACGTTTAAAAACTTGAAAAATGTCATGTGGTGTAACTATCATGTAAAAAATACATCTTGTACACAATTATTATTTTCAAAAAAAGTTTTTAAATATGTTTTATTTACAGATATCATTAATTATTTATTCAAAATATCATTGCATTTTAGGGAGTTGCACCACATGACATTTTACAACCTGTACTAATCTTTAAAAAAAATCCTCATAAAAACATTTTTTTATTCATTATGATATTAGCACAGTTGTATCACCCTGATATTGTTTTCTTTATGTCCCCTCCCCAAAAATATCAAAATGAATTTTAATGCAGAAACTAAAATAACCTCATAACAGAAGAGAACAATTATTCTAATTATAAGTATTCAAGTAACTGCATGTGTGAATCGCATTTTTTATGTATTTCTTAATGTAGTTCTTAAACGTTCCCATGGACTGAGCCTCTGAATCCCTTCAACCTTGCCCCCTTTCTGCCTGTTTCTGAAGCCTATGCTGAGACACATCTGGCATCCCAGACTCTTATTTTCATGCTATCTGCCAACTAAAAGTAACATTTCATGCATGGTAAAAATTTCTTACAGCAGCTTTAAAGGAATAGATTTGCTGAAAACGTCCTCACCCTCTGATCATCCCAGATTAGGATGAGTTTGTTTCTTCATCAGGTTTGGAGAAATGTAGCATTGCATCAGTGTCTCTGCAGTGAATGGGTGCCGTCAGAATGAGAGTCCAAACAGCTGATAAAAACATCACAATAATCCACAAGTAATCCACAGCACTCCAGTCCATCAGTTAACATCTGGAGAAGACAAAAGCTGAAACACATCCAGCATTAAGACGAATTTAACTCAAATACATTGAGTCTATAATTCATAATAACGCTTCCTCCAGTGAAAAAGTGCATCTGCTGTTGTCTCGCACATCAAAATATTTAAAGGGTTTGTTTTGGACTGACTGCAACTAAAATACATGTTTATAGTGATTTATAACAACACTGATGCAGCTTATCTGTACTGTTTTTCTAGCAACAATGCAAATTTGACCACTTGTGGCTTACAGTGCATCTCCTCTCTCTGTTTAACCTGGAAAGCAGCATGTGAACCACATGAGCCAGTCCAGTCTGTAGTGATACGGCGAGATGGTTACACAGGTTTACACAGGAGCTCATACTCCTCCCAAACCACATCTTCTCTGGTGTGATTGATGCTCAGTGCCCTGAAACACCACCTCCATCCGCTCCTTAGTGACACGACGCGTGCACCGGCTCTGCCATCTGCTGGTTACTGATGAGGTTTATATAAATGTCAAGCTCAGACAGAGACAGATGCGGTACCTGCCGAAGGCTCTGTGTGTGTTGAAGATCCGCAGGAGATCAAATGAGGTGTTGGAGCTCAGCAGGTTACTCAGATACGCTATCAGAATCTCCAGAGACACACTCAATCAATCAACATACACCTGACCAGAGACACAGTCAGAGGCCGAGAAAAACAGCCAGTCACAGGGAGACGGATCTGATCTGAACCGAGAGTCCAAACATACACTACCTCAGTAAGACCGTAAGACTTTTATTCAGCAAAGATGCATTAAAGCGATCAAAAGTGACAAAAGATTTCTATTTCAAATAAACACTGTTCATCTGTGAATCCTGAAAAATAAAATGCATCACAGTTTCCACAAAAATATTGTGCAGCACGACTGTCTTCAGCATTGATAATAATCAGAAATGTTTCTTGAGCAGCAAATCAGCATATTAGAATGATTTCTGAAGATCATGTGACACTGAAGACTGGAGTAATGATGCTGAAAACACAGCTTTGATCACAGAAATAAATGACAGTTTAACAGATATTCACACAGAAAACAGCTGTTTTACATTGTAATAATATTTCACAATTTTTACTGTATTTTTGATCAAATAAATGCAGCCTTGGTGAGCAGAAGACGTAAAAAATGTTACCGACCACAAACTTTTGAACTATAGTGTACATAAATATAATTGAATACTGAAAAGGATCAATAAAAAATAGTTAAGCATATTAAATATATTTTAGCCAACATTTGTGTGCAATGCATTTTATACATATTTTAGTATTATTTATATACTACTATATTTTTTATGAATATAGCTTTACTTTTTATGCTTTTATTTTAATTATTTTTTTGTGATTTTATTTTAATTTAATTTAATTTTTTTAGTAATTTTGCTATGTGTAC